CCCTCGCGAAATTTCTCAAACCAACGCTGGCATTTTCTGGCGCTAACTGCATCTTGACCAAGAGCACTACAGATGTTTTTGCAGCCTCACTTGCTTTTCTTCCTAATTGGAACTCGTAAAGCATGCAGTGCCGAATATGCTCTTCATCCGCCATCTTCTTAGCCCTAGTTTTGCAACAAAAACCAAACCAAACACAAACTTTTTCAAGCAAAACTTGTTAATTGCACTTCACACGTTCTGTAGATACCACGTGTTTGAAGGTTATGTCAATACAAGTCAACACCAAGCAAGATTTTTAACGAATGTTTAAAAACGACATTAATTATTACTAGACCCGATAGGATTCAGTGCAGCCCGGAGCTTTTGTCTCCTTCCCGCTAGGGCAATCCAGTGGCACAGTCTACAGTCCATCATCTGTGTGCAATGTGTGCACCTCCGGGGCTCTGCCTTTCGCTGTTCCCCTGAGTTTCCACCTTACAGCCTAGAATCCCTCTGTATGAGCCTGGGTTCCCAGGGTCTTGCCCAGAACTGGGGTTCAGTGCAGTCGGAACTGGGGCTCAGCACAGTCCGGAGCTTTTATCTCCTTCCTGCTAGGGAACATTAACCAGGCACTCAGCCTCCCTCCTCTCCGGCTCTGTCCTCTCCACACGTGAACACCGTGTCTCCGTACCTTAGGCTTTTACAGCTCCTCTGATTTTCCTTCTGGTTTTCTCTTTCCTTCTAGTTGTAGAATTTCCAGTCAGTCAACTTTCCTGTAGTTCTGGATAGTGTCCATTTTGTATTTTAGTTGTATTTTTGAAATTGTTTTGCGAGGCTACAGTTAGGCGTTTACCTATGCTGCCATCTTGGTTTATCTTCTCAACCGCATTTTCAAGTAGAAAAATAAGAAGTCCAGAGAGACAGAAAATCCCAGGTCCTACCTGGTTCCCAAGTCAATATTCTTTCCACTACAGCACACTCTGTCACTCCAGTTATCACAGACAGAAGGTAGTTTTATAGCATCAAATCTTCAAAGGTGCACAAAATACATTTTTTTAGCTAACATGCAAATCTTGTCCCATCAATTACTTCCTTCCGTCTGTTTCTTCTTTGTCTGAGGTTTTCTATCTGCTACTAGAGGCCTCACTGTGCTTCACCTCTCCCATCCAGCTCCTGGCATTGAGGCCGTCCTTCCTCTGGGCTCCTCTGCAGTGGAGGGACCCTCTCAGAGCACTGGATATGGTCTAAAGCAGGAGACCCCCCTGAAGGCAGCTAGCGATCTGTCCAAAGACACACAGAGAAGCAGTGGAGAACAAGGACCAGAAGTCCGTCCTTAGGAACTCCCATCAAGTCTGTGCCTCAACAACAACCGCCTCCCCGCCCAAGACCTGCACATCAGCTCACATCCTGGTCTCCAAACCCCGCCTGGAACAGGACAGGCTCCAGAAGAACTCGAGCCAATGTGGGCAGCACCTGTGTCCTGCTTCTCCCCTAATAATCCATTTGGTCCCTGTCCATACAACTTGCAAATATTTTCAACGTTTATCCTGTCCCTCCCCACAGACCCTGCCTGATTCAGCACTGTTCTCTTTCACTGGGGCTTCTGCAGCACTCCTTCAGAGGCCTCTGCCTCCAGCCTCCCCTTCTAATTTAGCGCTGACAAGGGCAGCCTGAGAGCTCTTTGTCATACGCAGATCTTACCATGCCACTCCCTGGAGGGGACCTTCCCTGTTCCCCATTAACTCCCCACAATGGCAGGATAGGAAAAGGCCTTGAACATTGACTCTGGGTCTTGGGTTTTATCCAGTTACAGAGAGGAGTGTAAAGGCTGAATGTCTCCTGTACCAGATACCTCCCTGTTATTTCATTTAACCCTTTTGGGAACCGTGCAAAATCAGTCTGTGGTCCCTCTGCATGTACTGTACTTCCTAGTTAGCCCTCTCCCCTGTCAGCCAGGCAGCCAATGTCATCTAAAACCTTTCCTGGCTCGTCCATGATCCAACCAACCCATATGGTCCCCTGCCCCACCTCTTCTTGCCTAGATCCTCCCATTAGTTTGTTTACACAGCAACTTGCCTAATATGCTTGGAAAAAGGGATGTCACCTTCACCTTTGTACCTGACCCCCAGCACAGAACCTGTTTCACATGGGTGCTCAAAATGGTTGGCAACTAACCAGAGGTTCATCTGGTTCAGATCTGAGGCATTAACTCAGCCAACACATCTGCCATCAGTGCCACATCAGTTAACATGACCTCCCAAAAAGCATCCAGCACTCTCTCAGCGGACACCCACCACTGTGAGCTGAGGCAGGAGTGCTCCAACTACAGCGTCCAGTTTAAGGACCTCCAGGGAGCATTTGGGCCTACCCACCTCCATCACCCTTTTCTTGTGTGCCCGCTCTACCCTGTGTGTGCAGCCCATGGCTACACAACGGTCCGCTGGCTTCCCAGAACAGGACCTTTCACAAAACCTGGCATTTGGGGAACACAAACATATGAAGTGACAAGATGAGCTACCATTTACTTAGTACTACTAGGTAGGTGTACTAGTTAACAATGAGGATTTTTTTTCAATAGATGAAGTTATACATATTTGTACGTATGTGATTTGATATTGCGCCATTTTGTTGTATTCACAACAAGCTTCAAAATTTCATATGTCAAATTTGCTGAAGGTGTTAACATCATAGATATTTTTATGCTTAAAAATGTCCAATTTCCTACCAAAAAAAAAGCATTTACCGGAAGTTTTAATTAATTATTTTGAAGAAAAGTGCTGCTGATTGGGGGCATGGGGGGGGGGGGGGGGGAGAGGCCACAATGGTATATGTACACAGATAATGATTTAATTAAAAAAAATTTTTTTTTAAAGGGGCTGCTGACAGTTATCATATACTTCAGGAAACTTATGGTGAACATACTCCATCTCAAGATATTTGTGAACGCTGGTTTAAACACGCTTTTAAAAGTGATGATTTTGATGTGAAAGACAAAGAACATCTAGGTCAACAGAAAAAGTTTGGAGACCAACAATTACAAACATTGGATGAAGATGGGTGTCAAACTCAAAATCAGCTTGCAGAAAGATTAAACGTTGCTCAGCAAACAATTCCCAATGGTTTATAAGCAACTGGAAGTGTTTTAAAGGAAGGAAAATGGGTGCCACATCAACTGAACGAAAGACAAATGGAAAACTGAAAAGTCATCAGTAAAACGTTGCTTTAACAGCACGAAAGAAAGTCTTTTTTGCATCGAATTGTGACTGGCGATGAAAAGTGGATTTATTTTGAGAATCCCAAATGCGCAAAATCATGAGCTGATCCAGGTCAACCATCAACATTGACTGCAAGGCCAAATGGCTTTGGAAACTAGACAGTGCTCTGTGTTTGGTGGGATCAGGAAGGTGTGATGTATTATGAGCTTCTAAAACCAGGTGAAACCGTTAATACTGATTGCTGACAACAAATCATCAATTTGAACCACGCTTTGATCATGAAACGACCAGAATGGGCTAGAAGACACAGCACGATAATTTTGCTTCATGATGACGCACCATCACACACTTCAAAACCAGTTAAAGACACGTTAAAAGATCTTGCCTGGGAAGTATTAGCCCATCCGCCATATTCACCAGACCCTGCTTCTTCAGAAGACCACTTGCTCTGATTGATGGCACACGCACTTTCTGAGCAGCACTTCAAAATGTATGAAGAAGAGGAAAATTGGGCCCCTGAATGTTCTGCCCCAAAAGAAAAGTTCTATTGGGACGGTATCCACAAATTACCTGAAAAATGGGCTAATGTGTAGCTAGCGATGGACATTACTTTGAAGACAGCACTTTTGATGTTTCTCTTGAAATTATCATGTTTTCTTTTATTACAAAATCCGCCATTACTAACCGGTACAGCTAGTAAGTGTCTAGTCCAGAGTTTTTCAACCTTTTTTGGGCAAAGGCACACTTGTTTCATGAAAAAAATCACGAGGCACACCACCATTAGAAAATGTTAAAAAATTTAACTCTGTGCCTATATTGACTATATATAAAGTAATTCTCTTGAATAGGAATCAAATAAACACAAAGAAAGTATTTTATAATTACTTTATTATGAAATATTAAGTAAACAAAATAGTGAAAAAATTATAAAATTCTTGTCTTGTCTGCACCTACGGCACACCAGGCAACATGTGCCGCGGAACAGCGGTTGAAAAACGCTGGTCTAGTCTATGTACTAAGGGTTTAATGCATAATCTCATATGTCCCTTACAACAATCCCACCAGGGAGGTACTACCGTGTTTCCCCGAAAATAAGACACCCTCTGAAAATAAGACCTAGCGCATGGAAAGATAAGACATCCCCTGAAAATAAGACCTAGCGCAACTTTGGGAGAAAAAATTAATATAAGACACTGTCTTGTTTTCGGGGAAACAGGATAGTACTGCACAGCATTATTCCTATAATATAAATGCAATATATTCCTCTGTCCCGACGAAGTGATGTGTCCACTCCCCTGGTTTAGAAAGGAGTCCGAGGCTTCTAGAAATCCGTCACTTACGCAGCTTCCAAGGCCAGGAAGCACATCCTGGTCTGCGGGCGCCTGGGCACCTGCTGGCCTGGCTGTGGTGCCCAGGGGCAGCGTGTCCGGCCCAGTCTCTCCCAGGGCCGCCCGCCCCGCCCCGGGTGGCCAGGCCTGCTGGCAGCGAGGACAGGCGGTGCCAGCCTCGGCCCCCGCCTCGTGCCTGACGGTGACCCCGACGTGCCCTGTGACCCGCGCCCTGTCCCCGCTCCCGGCCCCCAGCCCCGCAGCTGCAGGTTCAGCTCCGTCCCCAGCACGGCCGCGGGCGGCACCGGCTCCGGGCTCCTCAGGCCCCGCTCCGCGCCGCCCCCCGCTCGGCGCCCCGAGGGCAGGCGCGGGGCTCGGCGGCCTGGGGCTCGGCGGCCCGGGGCCGAGCCGCTCCGACCGCCCGCCCGGGCCTCCCCTCCCGCCCCCGCCAGGCCGCGCCCCGCCGCCGCCGCGTTACCGGTTCCGCTGCTCCTTGAAGAGCGCCGTGAGCGCGCGGAGCGCCTCCAGGTCCGGGATGGGCGCGGGCGTCATGATGCCGGACAGCCCGGCGGGCGGCGGCCTGGGCGCCGCCATCTTGCCGATGCCGGGGCTGACGAGGACGAGCGGCGGCCGAGGCGGAGCGGGGCGGGAAGGCGGGAGGAGCGCCCGCACCTCAGGCCACGCCGCTCCTGCGCCGCAGCCCGGCCTCAGGGAGAGCGCGCCGGACCGGGTCGCCCGCGGCGGAAGGGCTGTGCGCGCGGGGAGGGGGCGGCGGAAGTGCGGCCCGAGGGGAGGGGGCGCAGGCGGAAGTGCGGCCCGAGGGGAGGGGGCGCAGGCGGAAGTGCGGCCCGAGGGGACTAGGCTCGGGCGGAAGTGCGACCCGAGGGCAGGGGTTGCGGGCGGAAGTGCGGCCCGAGGGGAGGGGGCGCAGGCGGAAGTGCGGCCGAAGGGGAAGGGGCGCCAGCGGAGTTGTGCCTGAGGCTGGGGGAAGCAGGTCTGAGAGGAGGAGCCTGGGTTCAAGGTTCACCCTGATGAGGAGGGGGTAAGGGGACAGGTTCACTGAGGGGGAGGGAGAGGTGGGAACAGGCTCACCTGAGGGGGAGGGTGGGGAAGGGGAAAGGGACAGGTTCACCTGAGGGGGAGGGAGAGGGAGGGGACAGATTCACTGAGGGGAAGGGTGGGGGAGGGGATAGTTTCACCTGAGGGGCGGGGAGGGAGGGGACAGGTTCACCTGAGGGGGAGGAAGAGGGAGGGGGAGGGGACAGGTTCACCTGAGGGGAGGAAGGGAGGGGAGGGGAGGGACAGGTTCACCTGAGGGGGAGGAAGAGGGAGGGGGAGGGGACAGGTTCACCTGAGGGGGAGGAAGAGGGAGGGGGAGGGGACAGGTTCACCTGAGGGGGAGGAAGAGGGAGGGGGAGGGGACAGGTTCACCTGAGGGGGAGGAAGAGGGAGGGGGAGGGGACAGGTTCACCTGAGGGGGAGGGAAAGGGGTGAAAGGGCAGTCTGGGGAGGATGAGGGGGCCTGTGCATAGGCTCCCTCTAAGGAGCAGACTGAACACCATTTCCTTTGGGTGAAGAGATCAGTGCCGGACTCCAGATTACTGGGAGCTGTCTGTCACCTTGCAAGGCTCAGGCCCTGAAAGCTCAGTTCCGCTTCCCCAGACGTTTACCAGGCACTTCAAACAGGGCCAGAATACATTGTTCCAGCTCATCAGGGGCTTAAAATACAATTAGAAGTCAAGGGGCTAAATTTACAGCCATAGGCTAAAAATTATTTTTTTCCTAAGGGAAATGAACATTTCTTACAGGAATCAGACAAGATTCTCTGGAGGGTGTTTGTAACTCATCTATTTTATTTCCATGTCCTTGATCATATCATGTATGCTTCCAACAGGCATTGTTGCCAAGCACTGTGCTAGGTGAGATGATCCCAACCCTGAAGGAACTCAGACTATTGGGAGACAGGCAGACGTGACCGAGTACAGTTAAGGACTGTAGGGGACTGTACAAATGGCTGTGGAACCACTTAAAAGACATAGATACGTGCCCCCTACGATTTCATTTGAAGAGTAGGAGTGTTTATATCATGTGGTGTTTTTTTATGTTCTTTCCTAAATAAATGTAGACACAATAATAAGCACCCCCAGAGTATGCAGGAGAAATGAATCGTGCACAAGCAAGTTACTTGGTCTTGTAATTCAGCCTTACCCATTTAACTGACTACATAATCATTTCGTTCGACTAATATTTCTATGTGTCAAGCATTAGATCACCTAGCAATGTCTTAAGACAATTCAAAATGCTTAACAATCCTTAGAAAATATTTCCCCTAAAGTTTAGCCTAGATCAGTGATCGGCAAACCGCAGCTCTGTTGACTAGTGAGTTTGCCAACCACTGGCCTAGATCATTGCAATATAATCCTGGTTGGTTTCTTTGTTTCTATTGCCTCCCAATATTCTAGATCCTTTAAACATGCAAGTCAAATACTTGCAGGATTTGCTTCCTTATCTGTTCAAAGGATCTAATGAGTTCCCCTTATCAATCTCTTTTTTTGAATCTTTACCTGAGGAGTGCGGATATTTTTTCCATTGAGTGTTAAAGAAATTAGAAAGGAGGGGACAGGTGGAAGGAGAGAGAAACATTGATGGGAGAGAGACACATCAGTTGGTTGTCACACACACATACACATACACACACACCGATAGGGGTGGGGATTGAACTTGTAGCACAGGTATCAGCCCTTGATCTGGAATCAAACCAGAGACCATCTGGTGCACAGGCCAATGCTCTAACCACTGAGCATGCTGACCAAGGCTCCCTTATCAATCTTTAAAATTGTAACAGTAACACACCACCCAAATTCCTGATCCTCAGGAATTTTTCTCCATAGCACTGAATACTTTCTGTGTCATAGTTTATTTCTAACTATAGGCCTGATGCATAAAGATTCATGCAATAATGGGCCTCCTTTCCCCTAGCTGCCGGCATCACCTTTCACTCTGGCTGGAGCCGCCTTTCAGCCTTCCCTTGCTGCCTAGAGGCCCAAAGTAACTGGGGTGGTGTGGAATGCCTGCGTTGTCACCAAGACAATGACACAAGCCGATCTCCTTGCCACCTGTCTGAACACCATTTCCTTTGGATGATCAGTGCCCAACTCTCAATTACTCGGCACCTGTGTATGCAAATTAACCCACCATCTTTGTGGGGTTAATTTGCATACTCACTCCTGATTGGCTGGTGGGTGTTGTGAAGATACAATTTGCATATTACTCCTTTATTAGTGTGGATTAGTTTATTGTTACTTATCTATTTTGTTTACTGCCAGAATTTACTCCATCACCTAGAAAAGGACCTACTATAAGGTAATTGTTCAATAAATATTAGTTGAATTAATGAACAAAGAACATTTTTGAAGGATATATTTTAGGACTGTGACTTTGCATTTTCTCTTCCCAGTAGGCACCAAGCCATGGGCATCTCTCAAGACAACTGGCACAAGTGCCACAGATGGGGGGCAAGAGAAAACCCTATGAGAGGGAGCAATTATATAAGCTGGGTCGCCCTGCTGCCAACAGTAAGATCAGCATCCACTGAATACACACAGTCAGAGTGCGAGGAAACAGCAAAAAGTACAGTACCTTGAGGCTAGATATGGGCAACTTTTCCTAGGGCTCTGGAGTTGTACATGCAAAACCAGAATTACTAATGCTGTCTACAGTGCGTCTAACAATGAACTGGTCCACACAAGGCCCGAGTAAAGAATTGCATCCTGCTCATTGACAGCACACTGGGCAGACAGTGGTACGAATCCCGTCATGTCCCGTCTCTGGGCCACAAGACGGGTCAAATTGACTCCTAAGGATGAAGAGACATTTGAAGAAAATTGAGGAGGAATATGATGAAAGCGGAAAGAATGCCACAATCAGCAGTCTTCTAGAGAACAGTTCTAGCAGGGCAAGCTTCTTGCACACACTGCTTCAAAACTAGGCCAGTGTGGCTGTGCTGCAGGTGGCTGTGTGCTGGCGGGCAAGGAGCTGGACTTCTCTCTGAGGAAAATCAAGGCCCAGAAAGGGGGTTGATTAACCCGTGTCACAAAGGGGGTCTACAGTCTATGGAAAAAGATAAAAAATATTTTCAGAAAGGAGAAAGAAAATAACAATCAAAAAGAGTACAGGAAAGAGGAAGGTTGGAGGACAGGAAGACAAAAAGTATAAGGAAGATTAAAAGAGAGAGATAGGCTAGAAATGTGGGCAAGGAGGAGAAACAAGAACACTAAATTGGTTAAACAGTGGAGTGTTATTTACTGCCAGGAATCGGCTGGAGGATTTTCAACCTTGACTGAATTGACAAGAATAGGTTAATATTTCACTTGGGCTAAAAGGCATTTTTTTAATGTTATGTAATCTTATGTAATTGTTTACCTTAGATCAGCAATTTTCTACCAGGGTGCTATAAGAGTTTTCAAAGCATGCAATATGTGACTATTGAGTGAGGGGCCCTGACTTCTTTTTAGATTGTCAAATTAAAAAATTACAACAGCCAACACAATTGCCATCTGATGTGAATGAATCAAAATTATATCTATTTTTTGTCAGATTGGAAAAAAAAAAAAAACTTTTTTGGTGTGTCGCAGAATTTTAGTTATTAGTTTCTGTGCCATGAGATGAAAAAGGTTGAAAGTCATCGCCTTAGGTAAACATGCCATCATGTTGATGCACCTGAACGAAACTTCAGATGAAATCTGTGATCTCAGTTTGTCCTGAGCCTGCTTCAGAAGACTTAGATCAGCAATAATCCAGTAGTCAAGAAGTAAAAGTAAATAAAAAGAAAGTAAAGGAAAAATAGAAAGCAAAGGAGAAAGGTGAGGTGCAAGCAAAATTTGGACCAAAGTGTATATGGTTTTTGTACAGAAAAGAGAGAAAGAATACTGTTAAAGAGAATGGAAAATGAATGATGAAGAGAAAACTTCTTGCTTGTGCTTGCTCCTCTATCTCACTTTGATTCTCTCACTTAGAAAGCTTATGCCATGGCTGCCTATGCCACCAATGAATCATGTGTCAATCAGGCAAAGCTCTGGTCAGTCTAGACCTCTCTTGGCTCTGACTTTTCAAAGACAGCTTTGGGCTGTCAATGTGTTTATATACCACCTTCCTGCATCTGAAGTCCCTCAAGTCAGGGATTTTGTCTTCCTCATTTCATCCAGGACCAAGCTCAGTGGCTTGCACTTAGAATCTATCCTATAAAAATGTACTGATGCCCTAAACTGTTTGGCTCAGTAGATAGAGCATCAGCCTGCTGAGTGAAGGGTCCCAGGTTCGATTCCAGTCAAGGGCATGTACCTTGGTAGAGGGCACATCCCCAGTAGGGAGTATGCAGGAGGCAGCTGATTGATGTTTCTCTCATCGATGTTTCTAACTCTGTATCCCTCTCCCTTCCTCTCTGTAAAAAAAATTTTTTTTAATATATTTTAAAAATGGCCGAAACCGGTTTGGCTCAGTGGATAGAGCGTCGGTCTGCAGACTGAAGAGTCCCAGGTTCGATTCCGGTCAAGGGCATGTACGTTGGTTGCGGGCACATCCCCGGTAGGGGTGTGCAGGAGGCAGCTGGTCGATGTTTCTCTCTCATCGACGTTTTTAGCTAGCTATCTCTCCCTTCTCTGTAAAAAATCAATAAAATATATTAAAAAAATAAAATATATATATAATGTATTGAACCGAAAACT